TGTGTGTGTGTGTGTGTGTGTGTGTGTGTGTGTGTGTGTGTGTGTGTGTGTGTGTGTGTGTGTGTGTGTGTGTGTGTGTGTGTCTGCGTGCCCCATCCCCCCCGCTGCCCCCCTACCAACAGTCACACACATCACAGTTGGCGTCATTTTTTTGTGGAGTTGTGTATGGTGAACACGACGACACACATAAAAATAGCAGTGCAGGGGTGTTTGTGTACTGAAGCGTGGCCCTTTTTCCCATTTCAAGTGTGTAAATAGCATGGTTAACGTAACTTTCCATGAGTCATATCTTAGCTGCTGTGCAGGTGAATCACTTTATTGAATTTAATTTAATATTTATAATGGGGAAACTACGCGGGAGTCACAAAAACGAGTTACAATTGCACTATGGGCCAAGATACAGTTTCAAATTGCAGTTCGGGCAATGTATACAACCCAGCTTTCTAGCCAGGTGTGGGGTGCCCCAAGTGCTATTGCAAACTGTATCTTCCCCCATATATAGTGCAATTATAACTCCTTTTTGTGACTCTACTCAAGTTACCCCATTTATTTATCGTAATGCAAACAGTTTGGCAATCAATTTTTGTGACTCTTTTCTGGTACCGATAGTGGTACCGGGCAGGACCGGACTGGACGGGCCTGGTACCGACAGTGGGAGCTAAAGACCCACACTTGTTCCTAACGGACATGTCATTGTCAGCAGCAGGAGCTTCTCTTCCTATTATCTGCTTTGCACTTTTTTCACCTAGTCCTTTTTGAAGCGGTTTTCGGTCAGAAGATTGCACTGGCTTCCCTCTTCCTCCCTCCCTCCCTCCCTTTTCCCTCTTCCAAACGTCGGTGAAAAAAATGTTCGTCTACTTTCTGTTTTGCACTTTGCAATAGGTAGGTTTGAAAATTGATCCGAGCCGGTTTTTTTCCCATGTACTACAAATCAAATCGCATCTTACTTAGTAGCTGGTGGGTGGGTGTGGGTGGGAGGACGAGGATTGCATGTGATCAATTGACGTCGAGCTAAGAGTGCGGATGGTGCGGTAAGATGGGTGGCATGTTTGAATGCTTGTGTCTGAACTGATGGGTGGGTGTTGAGTGCTTCGTCAGTCAAACGGGTTGGAGGGACTGCTTTATTTGTGTCCTCTCCGATGCGAAAGGAGAAGTGAGGGGAGGGAGACTCAGTAGGGTTGGAGCTAGGAGTGGGGATGGTGGTGAGATGGGTGGTGTGTTTGGATGCTTGTTTCTACACCGGCGGGTGCGTTTCGAGTGCTTCAACAACCAGTACTCCGTAGGCACTTTTCTCCGGGGCTGGAAACGGCCGGCGTGCCCAAAAAAATAGAATCGATGCAGGCATCCTTTCGGCCCGCACTGCCAGCCATTTTGCTTTAGGGGCCAAGCCCCGACGGTTGCTGCTGCATGCACGCCGCACATTTTATTCTTTGGATGCGAAACGCACTGGCGGTTCCGTCGGTCGAGGGGGTGGCACACTGGCACACGTGGATGGCTGCTTCCGTTGGTGTCTGCTCCGGTGCAAAAGCAGAAGGAAGGAGAGGGAGTAGGGTTGGAGCGCAAGGGGTGCAGATGTGAGGAGCAGTGGTATGATCAGTCCGCGGCGAGACGCATGTGCAAGGAGGAGCTTTCTCTCCCTTACCTAGGTCTGTTTGTTGCATCTGCGCCGGCAATGTGAGAGAAGTGACGCCCCTTGTGCCTTTCTTTCCACTCCATCAAACACATCGCCAATGAAGATAAGATCCGAGCCGGGTTTTTTCCCATGTACTACAAATCAAATCGCATCTTACTTAGTAGACGGTTGCCTCTTAGTCTTTGAGTGAAGATAGGGAGACTTTACGTTCACCCAGAAGAGCCTGAGTCAATCAATTCAATATGTAAATTTAGTACGGTTGGAGGGCGGGGGGTGGTGTGACTGTTGAGGAGCAGTGGTATGATCAGTCCTATGGTAGGTAGACCCATAATCGAAGAGTTTGGGACGGGGGGTGTCTCCCGCTTTGGCCGGGTCTGTTTGGTCTTGTTCTGGGTCCCTCCTCGGGGAGCAGCTCAATACAGATTTGACACCTGTAGTTCCGATGGGCCCGGATGGGGTGCATGGTTCTGGCTGTGTGTCTTCTGTTCTTGCATGGGCGGCTGCGTAAGGGGGTGTGGAGGAAGGGATGGAGGGGGGGTTGCGCTTGACTGTTTTTTAACCCCTTTTTTGCGGGGGAAGGTTGTTATTGTGTTCAATGACATCTGATTGCAATCAATCAGGGTTCAAACTCATTTTCCGTTTGCTAACAGTTATATGTGTGTACCATTTCGGCGATGATTTCGCGGAATTTCCGCCACATGATGAGAGACGGATAACGGGGGCCCAAATATTCGCCATTTTCGTTGGCAATTGCGGCGTGAATTTCATCAAAATTTTTAAAAACAAATGATATGAGACCATAGTGCAAACATCAAAAAAGGAAACAGGCCAAAAAAAACGAAAAAAAAAACAAAAAAACACTATGAAACCCTAACACAAAGACACTGTCCGAGTCAAATCCAACAAAATGCCAACTTTTTCATTATTGATCAAAACATGTCAAAACTGCACACATGACATACCCTAAAACACATTTATATTACACAAAAAGAAAAACAAGAAAAAAAGCAAAAAATCAGCACAATATGACAGTTTCAGTGCAATTCGGTGCAAAATTCGTCGAAAATAATAAGTCCGGTGGCTGACCAACACCAGCAACGAATTCACAAGACACGCACAGGTTGTGCCACCTTCCGGGTTTTTAACCTTTTTTTTTTTAGTTCTGTCATGGTCACGAATGGCATCTGAATGTCAGCAAGGGGTTCGGCATTCATTCATGCTGC